ATAACTTGAAGGGTTCTCAATTGGAGATTGGTGAGATTCGAAGCCCATAACAAATTCCATTGAAGCCTGTCAATTGAAGCCCACTCGAATGGAATGCACCTGCTGAGTTGGAGAAATAGACAGATTCTATTGGAAGAATATATTGTCCGACGTGGCTTAATGAGGTGGTAGTATTACGCCCTTTTAATATAGTAGTGATGTACAGTTGTTACATGCACGTAGAATTCGTCGAGATCACCAATACCATCATTTTAAAATATGACTCATTGGAAAAAACATTAGAATAGGAAGAGAAACCTTATAATAATTAATCAAACATGTGTATAATTTGGTCTTGAGTCGTTATAAAATTAAATTGGAGTCTTTCGTCCAATGCGCTTCCTTATAATAATTCATTCTCGAGATCTCGATTTCAATTTTGTGTGAAAAAGTTGATCGTGAACTCACCATACTCCACGGTCACATATCTAGATATGGAAAATTATAAAATTTGATGTGATTAAATTTAACATTCATTGATTGTATAGTGCAGAGTGGTAGTATATATACCCACTTCTTTGCTCAGTAAGAAACCATCAAACTCAGAGCAAAATGAAGACTTTACTACTTCTCTTACTCATAATTTTCTCGTTTCTTTTATCATTTTCCTCAGCCGAGCAATGTGGTCGACAAGCTGGAGGTGCTCTCTGCCCCAACGGTCTATGCTGCAGTTCGTACGGATTCTGCGGTTCCACCGAACCTTACTGTGCGCTACCTGGCTGCCAAAGCCAGTGCACTCCCGATGCTACTCCTCCTCCTCCCCCTCCACCTTCTCCTCCTCCACCTTCTCCTCCTCCACCTTCTCCTCCTCCCCCTCCTCCTTCTCCTCCTCCACCTTCTCCTCCTCCCCCTCCTCCTTCTCCTCCTCCACCTTCCCCTCCTCCTCCTCCACCTTCACCACCTCCTCCTCCTCCCTCTTGTCCTCCTCCTCCTCCTGATCCCACTGGCGGTCTTACTGATATCATTACAAGATCTCAGTTCGACGAGATGCTTAAACATAGGAACGATGAAGCTTGTCCCGCTAGATGTTTTTACACTTACGATGCCTTTATTCACGCTGCTAAAACTATCCCCAGTTTCGCAAACGTCGGAGACACTGCTACAAGAAAGAAAGATCTCGCCGCCTTCTTTGGTCAGAGTTCCTACCAAACCACCGGTAATCCAAAAAATACTTACACATACAAGTTTATTTAAAGATTATATACCACCATTCTAAATATCCCTTATATGGTATAGTAAATGTAAACGCAAGCAAACGTACCATGAAGTCTTAAACGCATAAAATCTAAAACTAAAAAATAACCATATTATAATCGTTTAAAAAAAAGAAAAATCTGAACGAACTATAAAATAAAATATTAATAAATAGTAATATATATATATATATATATATATATGGCTAAGTTGTGAGTAATATATTAATGGATGTTTGCATGCTGAAGGTGGATCGCCCACGTCACCAGACGGACCATACACATGGGGTTACTGTCACAAGGAAGAGGTGAATCCTCCTTCAGACTACTGTTTACCGCAAAAGGGGTGGCCATGCGCACCTGGCAAACGCTACTACGGAAGAGGACCTATGATGCTGACAGGGAACTACAACTACGGAGTGTATGGACTAGCCCTTGCAATGGACTTACTCAACAACCCTGACCGTATCGCTAACGACCCAGTGGCCGCTTTCAGAGTCGCGATTTTGTTCTGGCTCAAGCCTTCTCCGCCTGGAAAACCGCGGAGCCAGGACGTGATAACCGGTTTATGGGAGCCTTCAAATGCAGACATTTTGGCCAGGAGAGTACCGGGTTACGGTGTGATTACGAATATCATTGACGGTGAAAAAGAGTGTGGACATGGCCCAGACACAAGAGTTGCGGATAGGATTGAGTTTTATCTGAGGTGCTGCAAAATCTTAGGAGCTGATCCAGGAATTAACCTTGATTGTTACGGACAGAGGCCCTTTGGTTCTGCTAATTTCCTTAAAGCTGCTATTTAATAAAGAGTGACATGCAGCAGCTTTGTATCCGAAAATTATAAGGGGTTGATTATCAACTAAATAAGAACTCTTTTTTTTAATCAGGGAGTTTTTTTTTTTTTGAACATAAAGTAACTTATATTAAAAAGCCCACACCATCGAACTATGGTGGGGAAGAAAGGGTAGCATTACAAAGAGCAGCCTTAGCAAGCTGATCTGCAGCAGAGTTAGAGCACGTTTATCGTGAAACTCTTATTTGGGGGTGCTTACAAATTTTCTTTTTTTATTTTTTTTCTTTTTCGGATTTTTTTTTAAAAAAAAAAAAAAATTAAAAAACAACCAATTGCGGGCCACCACGTGTCAGTGGGGCCCGCAAAATACTGAAGCACCGAAGAAAAAGAACGCTTGCACGGGAGCTTTAGGCGTCGAAGCTTCTTCTTTTTGTGGGACCCTATGTGCTAAGCACTGCCTTTTTTCCAGCGATAAACGTGCTCTTAAGAAGTCTTTCAATAAACTTAAAAGAAATAACAGAGATATTAGATGATAGAAATTTGACATCCTGGACTATTCCGAAGAGTTCAGCCGGAGGAAGCTTCGAAGTGATTGCTGCTAAGAGCAATGGGCAGTCTGTGTTGAAACAGATGACGTGATAGCTACATGACAGGGATTTTATGATGGTCCAGAGTAGCGCTAGAGCCTCTGCAGTAAGCGACGAAGAAACGTGTCATGATTATGCTTTGTAATGAACAAAGTAGTTGATTTCCCGTTAAGACAAGAGAAAAATAAAAAGCAGATGATGGAGATTAATGATGTTCGACAACAACCAAAATTTATAGCCAAATAAATACAAAATTCAGTCGTTAAAACTATTAGCCAGTTGTTGGCTCTAAATTGGTCACAAAATTTGTTTATTGTATTTTTTAATATAATATTTAATTTATCCAAAGAAAATACTTCTGTACATCATGTGTGTAACGTTTGTGTGTAATATTAAATTTTGTACAACCAAAATTTATAGCCAAATAAATACATAATATAGCAAGACGTTCTTTCTAATGCGATTAACCGATAATTGTTCATCCTTCACCAATAAAAATTTACCTATACACAACGGTTTTTCAGAATAACAATTGGATCGAACTACTACAAGTTGAGAGATGTGTGATAAAGTAGACGATGAGCCTGAAAGTTGTTTTTTCTTAAAGACAAGATGAGAAGAAGAAGAAGATTGAGAGTATGATAATGCTTTGTAAACTGAGTCTGCAAAAATAAAGCAATCGATCATTGAGCTAACAGTATTCGCATGCTGGACCAGACGCAGAACGTACGGTAACTCATAGTGGAATCAATAGTGAGAGTCCATGTGAGCAGATGCAACTGCCTAGATCCGGTTTATCTGCTAATGATTTCTCTACTAATGCCCAAATAAATACTCTATTATCTTAACTTTAAAAGAGACTGCACGCAGCTCACATGGATAATATACTATCACCTAGTCGAAATGCTTATTAGAGAGAGAGATTAGATTATTACTATTATGTACAGTTGTTACATGCACGTAGAATTTGTCGAGATCACCAATACCATCATTTTAAAATATGACTCATTGGAAAAAAAACATTAGAATAGGAAGAGAAACCTTATAATAATTAATCAAACATGTGTATAATTTGGTCTTGAGTCGTTATAAAATTAAATTGGAGTCTTTCGTCCAATGCGCTTCCTTATAATAATTCATTCTCGAGATCTCGATTTCATTTTTGTGTGAAAAAATTGATCGTGAACCCACCATACTCCACGGTTACATATCTAGCTATGGAAAATTATAGAATTTGATGTGATTAAATTTAACATTCATTGATTGTATAGTGCATAGTGGTAGTATATATACCCACTTCTTTGTTCAGTAAGAAACCATCAAACTCAGAGCAAAATGAAGACTTTACTACTTCTCTTACTCATCATCTTCTCGTTTCTTTTATCATTTTCCTCAGCCGAGCAATGTGGTCGACAAGCTGAAGGTGCTCTCTGCCCCAACGGTCTATGCTGCAGTGCATTCGGATGGTGCGGTTCCACTGAACCTTACTGTGCGCTACCTGGCTGCCAAAGCCAGTGCACTCCTGATGGTACTCCTCCTCCTCCACCACCTTCTCCTCCTCCTTCTCCTCCTCCACCTTCTCCTCAACCCCCTCCTCCTTCTCCTCCTCCCCCTCCTCCTCCTCCTCCTCCACCTTCTCCTCAACCCCCTCCTCCTTCTCCTCCTCCCCCTCCTCCTCCTCCTCCTCCACCTTCACCACCTCCTCCTTCTCCTCCTCCTCCTCCACCTTCACCACCTCCTCCTTCTCCTCCTCCTCCTTGCCCTTCTCCTCCTCCTGATCCCACCGGCGGTCTTACTGATATCATTACAAGATCTCAGTTCGATGAAATGCTTAAACATAGGAACGATGAAGCTTGTCCCGCTAGATGTTTTTACACTTACGAAGCCTTTATTACCGCCGCTAAATCTTTCCACGGCTTCGCAACCGTCGGAACCACTACTACAAGGTTGAGAGAGCTCGCCGCCTTCTTTGGTCAGAGTTCCTACGAATCCACCGGTAATCCAAAAAATACTTAGAGCATCAGCATTAGTAATTTTTTATTTTTTTTTTATTTTTTTTTTTCCGTTTGACTTTTTAAAAAAAAAAAAAAAAAAATTAAAGTGACCTATAGCGGGCCGCCACGTGGCGTGGAGCCCGCGAAATAGTGATGAACTCCCAATGTGGCTGCTCTTACATTTACAACTTTATTTAAAGATTACATACCAGTATTCTAAAATATGGCTTATGTGGTAGTTAACTGTACTAATTTCGTATTATATAGTATTTTATTTATACAGATTTAAATAATCTGAGCGTTTAGGCAAAATATTATGCGGTTTGTTCGTTTCGTATTACGCCGCTATACGCATTCTAAACATCTTATATATTAAAACAGAAGTCATGACTTAACTTCATGTGTGATTTTTTAAAAAATTGATTATTACTAGAAAATCATGTTACATTAACTCTCTAATAATCTTATCATTATTATATCTTATGAAAAATCATATCTATAATAACAAAGATACGCTTAACAATTTGGTGTTGGTAAATTATCCAAAACCTTCTAACTTAGTCACCCAAAATATGTCAATAGATATAAGTTTAGGAATCTTCTATTATTTATAAGGAAATATGTCAATAATAGTTAAATGCATCCACAATATATTAACAAAAATCACAGATTCGTAATATGAAATATTTATATACCTAACAAAATTTACATGCTATATATACTAGAAAAATTTATTTTGATGTAAATTTTTAAAATTATATTGATTTAAAAAAAGAAATTGTTTAAAAAATTCTTTTTTTAAATAAAATTCTTTATAATATTAATTTATGAAGCTATAAGTTTAGTTTTTAGCAAAAATTTCTTCGAATGTTATATTATCTTTGCAAATTAAAGTATACTAATATTTAATCAAGCTCTATTTATATTACTTTATCTAAAAATGAAATACTAATCTAACAAACAATAAAAAAATAGAAGAAGAAACAAACACATGTGTGAAAAACATGTATAATATATAAAATTTGAAACAATCTATTTGATTAAAACATGTATTATATAATATTATTATGTTTGAGAAACATTTACTTTACATATCGTAAATATGTGATTACTATAATATATACTAAATTACAAGTGAAACAAAATTTTTATATAACTAATTATAAACGAAAACAAACACCCGCGCGGTTGCGCGGGTCAAAATCTAGTTAATATTAAAAAAATTGTTTACTACGTACCTAACACGTTTTAAAACAAAGTTATATACACATCAATAATCGTTATGTGTTTTTTGAAAAAACAAATGTAAACGACTATAAAATAAAAAGATAAATAAATAACGTATATATTAGACTAAGAATTATATTTTAGAAAAAAAAATAATAGACTAATTAAGTTGTGAGTAATATATATTAATGAAATGGATGATTGCATGCTGAAGGTGGGACACCCACGTCAGCAGACGGACCATACACATGGGGTTACTGTCACAAGGAAGAGGTGAATCCTCCATCAGACTACTGTTTACCGCAAAAGGGGTGGCCATGCGCACCTGGCAAACGCTACTACGGGAGAGGACCTATGATGCTGAAGGGGAACTACAACTATGGAGTGTATGGACTAGCCATTGGAGCCGACTTACTCAACAACCCTGACCTCGTCTCTAGCGACCCAGTGATCGCTTTTAAAGTGGCGATTTTTTTCTGGATGTCACCTTCGAGGCCTGCAAAACCGGCGAGCCACGACGTGAGTGTCGGTTTGTGGGAGCCTTCAAACGCTGACCGTCTGGCCGGGAGAGTACCGGGTTACGGTTTGATTACGAATATCATTAACGGGGGAGAAGAGTGTGGACATGGCCCAGACACAAGAGTCGCGGATAGGATTGGGTTTTATGAGAGGTACTGTCGTCAAATCTTAAAAGTGGGTCCTGGAATTAAACTTGATTGTTACACACAAAGGCCCTTTGACTCTACTGCTAAATCCCTGAAAGCTGCTATTTAGTAAAGAGTGAGATGCAGCAGCTTTGTATCCGAAAATTATAAAGGTTTGATTATCAACTAAATAAGAACTCTTTTTTCTTTTTCTTTTTAATCACACACAATATGGAGTTATATATAGTTGCGGTTTCTGTTATATGGAGGTTGGAATGGCCTTATAACCCATAGCCAATAGCTATGTACATTTTTACAGCGAAATTCCTTGTTAAATCTTATAGCCAAATTGATACGGAAAACCAATCCTTGAAACTGTCACTACTATATAGTGTTGTTCAAAACAAAAAACTGACACTAGTAAGCAATGAAACAATTTGTACTTATTTCGTTGACTCTTTGCTAATACAATGTTGCCAGTTAACTCTAGCCTCTAACATGATAATTCGTTGTTAGACAGATGTCTCAACCCCTTCTGACGATCGTCATAGCAAGACATTATTTTCTTTGCACGATTACCCGTAATTTGTATTGATAAAAGATGAATAATTAATGGTTAATCGCTTAGAAACAAAATAAATGAAGCCTCACTCAGGTTTAATAGTTTGGTTTTTCAGGTCGAGGAATAAAACTTGGATGAAACTAGTATAAAAATTGTGACAAAGTAGTTGATTTCCCTTTAAGACGAGAAAAGGCAGGTGGTGGAGATTAAGATCACAATATCAGAGCAATCATGGATATATCTACAAGTATTCGCAGGCTGTAAGAGTCTGGACGGTGACTCATTGTGGAGTCATTGGCAACAATACTCAATTCATCTGTCTATCATTAATGTTTCTCTACCTAGGCATGAAAGTTAGATAAAATCTCTACTAATGTCCAATAAATACTCCATTATTATCATACTATAAAAGAGACTGCAAGAAAACAGCCCACATGGATATAGAGATAGGATGTAGACTTGTAGTCAAAGTACTTATTGTGTATTATACATAAAGAGACATTTATATTATTATGTACAGTAGTTGCATGCACGTAGGTTTCGTCGAGATTATCAATACCATAATTTAACCATGACTCATTGGAAAAAAACATTAGAATAGGAAGAGAAACCTTATAATAACTAATCAAACATGTGTATAATTTGGTTGAGTCATTATAAAATTAAATTGGAGTCTTTCCTCCAATGCTCTACCTTATTATTATCCATTCTCGAGATCTTAATTTCTTCTTTTTATGTGTGAAAAAGCTGATTGTAATTTGTGAACCCACGATACTCCACGATCACATATCTAACTATGGATTAAATTAACATTTATTAATTGTATATTCGCATAGAAGTAGTATATATATACCCCCTACTTGCCTCAGTACCATCAAACTCAGAACAAAATGAAGAGTTCTCTAGTTCTATTACTCAACTTCTTGTTCCTTTTATCATTCTCCACAGCCGAGCAATGTGGTCGACAAGCTGGTGGTGCACTCTGCCCCAACGGTCTATGCTGCAGCGAGTACGGATGGTGCGGTAGCACCGAAGCTTACTGTAAGCTGCCTGGCTGCCAAAGCCAGTGCACTCCTCCTGGTCCTCCTCCTCCTCCGCCTTCTCCTCCTGGTCCTCCTCCTCCTGATCCCACCGGCGGTCTTACTGATATCATTACAAGAGCTCAGTTCGATGACTTGCTCAAACATAGGAACGACATCGCTTGTCCGGCTAGAGGTTTCTACACTTACGATGCATTTATCGCCGCCGCTAAATATTTCCCCAGCTTCGGCAACACTGGAGATACTGCCGCAAGGAAGAAAGAGCTTGCCGCTTTCTTTGGTCAGACTTCCCACGAAACAACCGGTAATCCAAAAATACTTCAATATACAAATTTATTCAAAGGTTTTTTTTTTTAACACAATTCAAAGGTTATATACTAAACGTAAAGGCAAGCAAATACACAATAAATTTTTCAACCATAAGATCCTTAATAAAGAAATAAACATCAATATTTGATAAAAATAAATAAAAAAATAAACATCAATAATCATCATTTATTTATTTATTTAAAAAAAATAAACGACAAAAAATAAAAATGTTAATAAATAAGCTTTTTGGTTAAAAAAAAGAAGTTGTGAGTAATATTTTATATTGGGGAACATCCCATAAGATTGGGACAATACAGAGAAGTTGTGAATTATATTTTTAATAAATTGGATGATTGCATGTTGAAAAGGTGGGTGGCCAACAGCACCAGACGGACCATATACATGGGGCTACTGTTTCAAGCAAGAAGTTAATCCTTCTTCAGACTACTGTTCACCGAGTGCCACCTGGCCATGCGCACCTGGAAAACGTTACTACGGAAGAGGACCGATGCAGCTATCGTGGAACTACAACTACGGACAGTGTGGAGCAGCCCTTGGAGAGGACTTACTCAACAACCCTGACCTTGTCTCCGACGACGCAGTGATGGCTTTCAAAGCTGCCATTTGGTTCTGGATGACTCCCCAGTCTCCTAAACCGTCGTGTCACGCTGTGATCAACGGTCAGTGGCAACCTACAGAAGCTGACATTGCTGCCGGGAGATTACCTGGTTACGGTGTGATCACGAATATCATTAACGGTGGGTTGGAATGTGGCATTGGCCCAGACTCAAGAGTCCTTGATAGGATTGGGTTTTATTTGAGGTACTGTGGCATCTTTGGAGTGAGCCCTGGAGATAACCTTGATTGTTACAACCAAAGGTCCTTTGCTTTTGTTAACTCCTTCCTTGACGCTGCTATGTAATTAGCAGCTGCTTTGTATCCGAAAATAATAAGGGAATACCCAACTAAATAAAAGTATGGAGTTATATTTACGATTTTTGTTATATGAAAGTTGGAATGGGGTTTTAAATGGGCATCGGCAGACAAAACATGATATATTTGTATGGTCGGTTTCAGGTGCCAACAGGTTTCGCATAACGTGACAGCTATGCTATCTCCAAGCATCCTTTTCAAGTCAACCTTAGCGTATAGTATATAAGATTTGGATACAGTCTAAAACTCAATAGCCACTCTTTCTTATAGGGGGTGCAAGAAATAAAATCTCGAACCGAATCGACCTAGCCGAACAGTGGTAGACCGAGAACCTTGTTTTGGGGGGTGTCATAAGAAAATAGATAAAACTAAAATATAAGAACTAAAATACTAGTAAGTGAACTTTATAGAAGTTGAACACTGGTTATGGTGGGTCAAAGAACCAAATTATAACCAAATGAACTAGAGTAATTTACAATATGCAGATTGCAATTTTTTTTTATTTAACATGGATTAGGTAACACCTTGTCCTTCTATGTGCAGCCCAACCTAAACCAATTTAAACCAAACCAAAATATATATTTTAATCATTGAATTAAAAGTTTATAACCTAAATAGTTCAGTTTTAATAGACCAAAAAGCCTTATATTAGTAGTATAAAAATTTAAGATATTTAATTATCAAACATAAATGAACAGAAAAATATAACTACAGTAACAAGGAATTTATTGGATTATATTTTGATGTTTGGCACTAGTTTAAATATAAAAATTAATAAGTTAATGTAAATGATTTATTTTATGTTTTATAAATTATATTTTCATAATCTAACTAGAACATAGTTAAAAATCAATTTGAAGGAACTGAACAAACACAGACAAAACTCAACAAAACAAAATCGAACTCAAACCGAACTCAAAACCAAACTAATTTCAGTTTCAATTAAAGTTTTCTTAGACCCAATACCTTAGTTTTAACCATGGCTCATTAGGAAACATTAGAATAGGAAGAGAAACCTTATAATAAGTAATTAAACATGTGTATAATTTGGTCTTAGAGTCATTATAAAATTAAATCGGAGTCTTTCGTTAAATGCGCTACCTTTTAATAATTCACTAGGATAAGACCCGGGCCTTGCGCGGGATGAAATTATTATTTTTATTATGTTTTGGGAAATGAAACAAAAGTTCGGTTTCATCTAGATTAAGAATGTTCAATCTGGATATCGGGTTTCCGTATTTTGGTTATTAAAATATAACTACTATTCTAAATCCATATTTACTTCAGTTTGATTTGGTTTATATATTGGTTTTCAGTTTATTCAATTTTATACCAAAATACATCATTATTTAGTTTGAAATCATATTACATGTTATAAAATAAATAATATGATCATATTTAGAGTCATATTGTCAAAAAGTCATTTACTAAAAAAATATATTATATATTTAACTAAAAGAATTAAAAACAAAAAAAGGCTTCTATGATCTAATAAAATGATCAAATCTAGAATTAATATCAAATCTCTAAATTTTGAAAATAAAAATAAAAATAAAAACAAAACAGAAGCA